TTCTGGATTGAAATAATATCGTTATGCGGGGGTCCACTGTATGTCTGCTGGATTTATGTGGGAGCGGTTAATGCAATAAAATCTCTCAAAATCACTACATTCTTGATGGAAAAACTTTAAAAGTAGTGGATCTAGATTAAAGCCAGATTTTTGCGGGAAGGATCGTAATTAGAGCTCCCAGGGTTTCAGCTTGACTCCCATCTGTTCACCTATTTAAAGATAGTTACGCAAGTGTAGCACTGTTGTGGTCTCCAACCTAGGAAAAATTTCCATGCAATATGCAAAAGAAAGTTTGAAATGGATGGATGGCTGTTTTATCATATATAATTCTTTAACGCACTTTGTAATACTATAATTGTATACCTACATACTAATGCTGGATAATTGTCACTCCATTAAACTTTACAGTATACAAGTCAAAATTCATTTTATAAATAACAACAGTCAGACGTTAAATACAATTTTAAAAATACTACTTCTCTCTTTAAACTTGATAATACCCTTAAAGGCATTTTAAATTTCATTGCAAGTCATATGTGTAACAGCGCCAGGAAAAAACACACTCATATTTGGCACCCAGTGCCTTCATCCTCGGGCCCCAAAAATGTCCTCAGCCGTAGATATGGCACCATAGGCCTTTCTAGAATCTCCAAAGAAGGTTTAAACTAATCCTTGGCTTCTTTGTACACTGAAAATTTAACATGATTAATTATTTACTATAAATCAACACTAAGTGCTAAAACCACCAGGGCTGCACAGCACTGATTACACATTAATATAATAAGAAAGTTCAATTACTTATTTTAAAACATATGTTCTTGCATGGGACCGAAACAATGTTATATACTTACCTATTTGAAAAATTATAATTTTTAACTACCCAGACATGGTGCCCCAGTTTCGAAATTCCTTCATTCCAGAAGTCTGTTGGTGCGTTACCGAAAGAATTTTTTCCCACAAGGAATAATGTAAATTTAATTTGTCCTTTTCAACCCCCAAAAATACACTTACAAAGCACTTACACTAAACACTTTCATAATTGGTCAGTTTTGGGGGCAGTTTGAAACTCGGGTACACGTAATTAAAATACTTACCAGGGGTTAACCATAATAAAAAATTTTACCTGTGGGTGAGCCTCTTCACCGCAAAACCCAAAATAACTGACACTTTTATACATCACCTTTAACGAGCACCCCGGCCTTTGGTAGTGGGCACGAAAGCAGTTGACAGGGGTGGATGCAGAGCCAAGGTGGAGGCCTGTAGGTTCAATGGAGAAGGGGTTCCTCCCTTTCTCCACTCTGAACATGATTATTTCAAAAAAAAACAACACTAAACCCCAAGGTACTCTAAACAAGACTCCCTCTTTAACTTTTAAACATCAACTGATTTATTACACAAACTTTGATACTGTACTGCCTTTTGCACTCCTCACAACCCTTTCTGACTACCTATGTTATCCTCTCCACCCTTGGTTACCCTGCTCCAGCAACCACATTCCCTGCAGCACTGTATGACCCTAGTGGGTTTAGTGTTTGGTTTTGATTATAATAATTCATCAGTCGTGCCTGAAACATGCTGACGTGTTCAATTGGCTCTGGCCTCCAGGAATAGTCTATATAACTAGTTTCTTGAATCCCTTCATGTTACCTTGCATACACTAACAGCATATCACAAAAGCCACTCCCATCTAATGCACTTCGATTATTATAATTATAATCATGGGGAGCGCTAAACCCATAGGGTTATACAGCGCATGTGGGGGGATGGAAGGTATTCAGGTTCAATTCAGGGAACCGGAGCACAGATCCAATTCCCTAGATCAAGAGCCCCTCACCAACGTCAAGGAACCTCCCTTGAGGGGCTAATGCACTTCGAGCTTACTGGATGTCTAGGCTCCTATACTGTTATCATCATAACTAAGTGCTAAACTCACAAAGGTCATACAGCACTACCAAGCTCCTAGAGGTACACCCCTCAAGGAAGGTTCCTTGATGTTGGTGAGGGGCTCTTGATTTAGGGAATTGGTTCTGTGCTCCAGTTCCCTGAATTAAGCCTGAATACCTTCCACATCCCCCCCCCCCCCAGGCACTGTATAATCCTCCGGGTTTAGTGCTTCTCCCTTGATTATAATAATAATAATAATCCTAGAGGTACAATTATTATTACAATCATAACCCTCTACCTGTTATACTCTTCACCCTCACTGATCAGGCATTATTATACACCCCTCAAGGAATGTTCCTTGATGCTGGTGAGGGGCTCTTGATCTAGGGAATTGGATCTGTGCTCGTTCCCTGAATTGAGCCTAAATACCTTCCATCCCCCCCCCTACAGGCACTATAATCCTATGGGTTTAGTGCTTCCCCATGATTATATTATGTACAATCAAAATGAAGCACTAAACTCTGATCAGGCATATTACACCTAGCACACCCTACTCTGCAGTTCTGTATGACCCTAACAGGTTTAGTGCTTGCTTGTGATAATACAATCATTTCCCTCGAGGGAAGTTCTGATGCCAGTGAGAGGCTTTTGATCCGAGAAATTGGACTCGCCCTCCCCTTCCTTGGATTACACCTAAAAGCCTCCCCAGGCACTATATGACCCCTATGGGTTTAGTGCTTCTTCATAAATATTTTTTTTTTAGTGCTTCATAAATAATTATGATAGTCATAACCAGCTCCTAGAGATACAACTTTGACTGTGTCTGTAGGGTTAATAACAGGCAAACTCAACTATTCATGACCTCCCAGTTTTATATAGAGGTCTTCCTTTCTTCTTACTACAATGAAAACTAGGTGCTAAACCCACAAGTCATACAGCACTGCTGCTTTTTTTTTTTTTAGACTTTTTCTATGATCTCTCAACTGCTGGTCCACAATAAATTAATATGTCAAAAGCACATTTGGCTTTCTGGTCATCTCACCATTGTTGTGTTGGGGAGACTGACCTCTTGCCTACATATTGGCTATAGATCTCATGAATACCTCAGACAAATGACTGGCCAGTTTATCAGATTAACATTACCTTTCAATCCCACACTTGTCCAAACACTACAAATTTCACAATGCCACCTATAAAACTATGCAAAACTAAGGATATTTACACCATACTCCCCTCAAGGAAGGTTCCTTGATGTTGGTGAGGGGCTCTTGATTTAGGGAATTGGATCTGTGCTCCAGTTCCCTGAATTAAGCCTGAATGCCTTCCACATCCCCCCCAGGCGCTGTATAATCCTCCGGGTTTAGTGCTTCCCCCTTGATTATAATAATAATTCACACCATATTACCATTACAATCATAGCTAAGTGCTAAACCCACTAGGGTCATACACCTCTGCCCTTGACACCACAAAGGATTCCTGATTCAAAGAACTGAAGCTGCTGTCTCTTGCCAAATCAAATTAAAATGCCTAACTTCCCAGGGTGCTGTGTGACTCCAGCACACTTTATTCTGGGATAATCACTAAACCCATAAGAGGTCACAGAACCTAGGGAATGGGAGGCATTCAGGTTTGCTTCCTGGAGACCAGCATCATGGCACTTCGTGAGAGGCATAACCCCTACAGGTTTATTATTATAATCGAAGAAAGCGTTATACCGACAAGGGTCATTCTGCGCTGCAGGGCAGAAAATAGAGCCAGGGCTATAAACAGCTAGGTGGAGAGGATCAGAGGTGAGGGAAGAAAAGGGCTGGTCCCTACAGGTTTAGTGCTTCTTCAAGGAAGAAAAAGGACAAGTCATTAGTCTATGACTGATGGGAATTTATCTCTTCCATGAGAAATACTCCTGATTTTCCCTGGTTAATACAAACTGTACTGGTGAAGGGTTTGAAGGACCTTAGGGTCCTTAATACCAGTTATTACATTGATGGGGAAATGCTAAACTCAGTCATACAATACCTGGGGGAATGGCAGTCAAGACTATTCAAGGAACTGGAACACAGGTACAATTCCTTATATCAAGAGCACCTCACCAATATCAAGTAACCTCTCTTGAGGAGCCTTGATAGCAGTGAAGGCCTCCCTATCCAAAGAACTGGGCCTGCCCTTTCCTTCCTTGGATCAAACCTGAATGTCTTTCATTCCACAGGTGCTATGACTACTATGGATTTAGTGCTCCTAAAAATATAATACTTTAAGAGCTAGAATGTATTGTGCTTTAACCGGTGATGTAATCTGTAGGAGTCTGAATGCCTTGCAAAATGGGACATTATTAAAAATCAGAAATAAACACTAAACCCACAAGGGTCATACAGGATAGGAAAATGGGAGAACATTTAATCAAAGGAAAGGAGTGCTAAACCCAAAAGCCCTTTACTGGCATCTAGGATCCTCCTTTGTGATGAGCAAGGGAAGAGAAAATTACTTGTATGCAGCTGGACATTCGGTCATTGTCTAGCACAGGGGTGGGGAGCCTTTTAATGTTGGAAGGCCGCAAGAAAGTTAGCTGTAATCCAATAAGGCCGTATTCAATAAATTTTGATTATACTGCAAATTATTATTATTATTATTATAATCAAGGGGGAAGCGCTAAACCCGGAGGATTATACAGCGCCTGGGGGGGGGATGTGGAAGGCATTCAGGCTTAATTTGGGGAACTGGAGCACAGATCCAATTCCCTAAATCAAGAGCCCCTCACCAACATCAAGGAACCTTCCTTGAGGGGATTATACTGCAAAATGTTTGTTACTTTACAAAAAGTTAATTATATAATAGCTCCAAGAAAAAAATTTATTCAGAAGGCTGCAGGTTCCCCACCCCTGGTCTCGCACATGTGACAATGATAGAAAGTTGCAGTATTTAACCCTTAAATGGTCCAAACGTATATATACGTTTTTTCAACATCTGAAAGTATGTAAAAAATGTAGATCTTTTTTTTTTTTGTTTTACATGTGAAAACGCGAAACAAAACTTTTATCTACATTTTTGTTACATTGAAATATGTAAAAAAGTAGATCTACTTGTAGACTCGAATTGAAGCCGATTTGTTGGACCGTTTAAAGGTTAAGTATAGTGGACCCCCGGTTAACGATATTTTTTCACTCCAGAAGTATGTTCAGGTGCCAGTACTGGTCGAATTTGTTCCCATAAGAAATATTGTGAAGTAGATTAGTCCATTTCAGACCCCCAAACATACACGTACAAACGCACTTACAAAAATACACTTACATAATTGGTCGCATTCGGAGGTGATCGTTATGCGGGGGTCCACTGTATAGCCATAAAATTAGTTGTCTTTCATATGATAACACTTTCAGCAATACAAACTTTTGGGTCTAATTAGTTTTCTACAAAATATTATAAACTGATACACTGTAGTCTCAGTGAATGATGATACCCAATTCTCTTGTGCAATACCCCTCCTTGATGCTGGTGAGTGGCTCTTGATCCAAGGAATTGAACCTGTCATCCCCCTCCTTGGATTTAGGGCTTTCCCCTAAACAAATATAATAATAATAATTTAGTTAACTACAGTTGTATAATGATCTTTACAATGTAAATGAATACTGTAATCTTAATCATCCCACATTATTTAAATTCGTACAAAAGTGTAGGAATTACAAACTACCAGGTTCAATCTCAAGAAATTGAAAAAAGTTCTTATGCCACAACTTTAGTATTATTACACTACTAAAATTCTAAATTTTCTCTCATATGAAAATAAATATTATCCATTGCAAGCTTATTGGAAAGGGACACATCTTGCCATGAAGGAGAGGAAGTTTGGTTCCCTAAAAGGTTTAAGCACTGAGTTGTAAGTCGTTTGTAGTGGAGTTCATTCTGCTGATTTTGTTCAGAATGGTGCAACTTCCACAAAGTTCGATAGAGTCGAGTTTTCAATACCAAAATGCAAACATCCCACTCGGTTTGAGCAGCACCACTCACCCAGGACATTGCTTGTTCTAATCTGTAAATATAACGAGAACAAATTGAAATGTGTTATTATTATAATACGATGGAGTGAATGATGATGAAAGTTTTTCTTTTTCGGGCCACCCTGCCTTGGCGGGAGATGGCTGATGTGTTAATAATAAAAAAATTAATATAATGCAACAGATGATTAATTATTGTTTTTAAAACACACCAGGAGTTATAGCAGTTAAAATTATCAAGAATACAAATTAAAGACATAAAGAATTCATGTTTTGAAGTACAGTGGTACCTTGGGATACGAATTTAATTTGTTCCAGAAGGCTGTTTGAGTGCCGATACCGAACGAATCTGTTCCCATAAGGAATAATGTAAATTAGATTAATCCTTTTCAGACCCCTAAAAATACACTTACAAAAGCACTTACATAAATACACTTACATAACTGTTTGAGTTTTGAGCTGTTCGTATCCCGAGGTCCCACTGTACAGCAGTGTATACACATGTACATCAAAGAGAATGAACGCAATTTTTATTTTCTTACCATTCTGATTATTATACTCAAAAGAATTAACCAGCCCCTTATATTTCATGACAAACATTGCCAAGGTTTTGGATGTGAAAAGATGCAGATTTAAAAAACTCGTTAAAAACACGCACAAGAAAGCAGACGATCTAAGCATTTAATAATGCTAATATGGGGGCTATAATGTCTAACCCAAACTATGTTTACACACAAAGACCAAAATAAAGAGGAATCCTCTCAGAGTTCAGTGTTGAAGAGGCTTCCATTTTGTCACTAACAGGATTGTAGCACTTTAACCCCAATGGATAGATGGTCTTCCAATTCCCTTCTCCTTCAGACCCACACTAATGAGGCTACATAAAACATGCCTGGATAAATACAAAGATAATTTTAACCTCAAATTTCTTGACATTTAGTAAAATGAAGCTAACTTAAAATAACCTTTCATACACAATGACATAGAATTCATTTTTTTTATGTTAATGAGAAACCATCTGAGAAATGGGGTAATCAGGTTTTATTAATGGGAAAGCACCAGGGAAATGGGATAATCAGGTTTTATTAATGGGAAAGCACCTGGGAAATAGGATGATTGGGTTTTATTAATGGGAAAGCACCTATGAAATGTGGTACTCAGGTTATAATAATGGGAAAACTCCTGGGAAATGGGGTAATCAGGTTATAATAATGGGAAAACACCTGGGAAATGGGGTAATCAGGTTTGATTAAAGGAAGAGACATTATCTATAATTCCTTGGGAAAAGGTACATCTCTCCTTGAAAGTTTGTTTCTAATATTGAACATCTGCCTCAAGGCCTTTATGCCAGCAAGTTATTTGTGACCAAAGGAACTGGACTTATCCTCCCATTCCTTGGATTGAACTTTAAGCCCCAGTGGGTTTAATGCTTCCCCCTGATTAAAATTAAGTAAACCTAATGTTAAAAATGCACATGTTTAAGATTTATTACAAGACTACATCATTAATAACATAGCTGTGCAACATTTTAAGGCTTTAATTTTAACAAGATGTCTTGAATGCCACAAGAAAAAACTTGGAAGTATTTTAGAGATTTGTTTTACAGGAAAGTGCTAACCCTGCTAACCCACATTGGCTCCAATCTAAGTTCATATAGTGGCACCTGCACACTGGCACACTTTAAATGTTCTTAAAAGAGCTATAAATATCAAGAGAAACTTCTACAGCATTCCCTCAGAATAGGGAAAGATGCTGAGTCGTATATAAATTTAAACATTACTAACCCACCTGATGCATTCCTTGAGAGCATCCTTAACTTCTCCTATTTTGGCAAGAGCCTCAGTTCTGACAAGGCACGCAGCGGCTGTTGGATGTTCGATACCTTCAGTTCACAGAACATGTAGAATTGTTGTCGTCTAAGCCATCTTTAGACAAGTTCATGATATACTTTTAGATTAATCAAAATCAAGCACTAAACCATAGGGTCATACACGTGTATAATAAACATTTATAATCTTTATGTCTATGGACATTTTCCTTAATATACAATACAAGCAAAACTAAATTACATTGTACAGTGGACCCCGGATAACATCACTCCCAACTCGACCAATTATGTAAGTTTATTTTTGTAAGTGCTTTTGTAGGTGTATTTTTAGGGGTCTGAAAAGGACTAATCTAATTCACAATATTTTTTATGGGAACAAATTCGGTCTATAACGGCACCCAAACAGACTTCTGGATTGAAATAATATCGTTATGCGGGTGTCCACTGTATGTCTGCTGGATTTATGTGGGAGCGGTTAATGCAATAAAATCTCTCAAAATCAACTACATTCTTGATGGAAAACTTTAAAAGTAGTGGATCTAGATTAATAGCCAGATTTTGCGGGAAGGACTCGGTAATTAGAGCTCCCAGGGTTTCAGCTTGACTCCCATCTGTTCACCTATTTAAAGATAGTTACCAAGTGTTAGCACTGTTGTGGGTCTCAACCTAGGAAGAAATTGCCATGCAATATGCAAAAGAAAAGTTGAAATGGATGGATGGGCTGTGTATCATATATAATTCTGTGAACGGCACATTTGTAATACTATATTGTATATCCTACATACTAATGCTGGATAATTTGTCACTCCATTAAACTTTACAGTATTACAAGTCAAAGTCATTTTATAAATACACAACAGTCAGACGTTAAATACAATTTTAAAAATACGTACTTCTCTCTTTAAACTTGGATAATACCCTTAAGGCATTTTTACTTTCATTGCAAGTCATATGTGTAACAGCAGCCAGGAGAGAAACACACTCATATGTTGGCACCTCAGGTGCTTCATCCTCTGGCCTCAATAATGTCCTCAGCCTGGTAGATGATGGCACACATAGGCCTTCTAGATTCTCCAAGAGAAGGGTAAACTTATCCTTGGCTTCTTTGTACATCTGAAAATTTTACATGATTAATTATTACTATAATCAACACTAAGTGCTAAACCACCAGGGCTTGCACAGCACTGATTTACACGATTAAATATAATAAGAAAGTATCAATTACTTATTTTAAAACATAGTTCTGCCATGTACAGAAACAAATGTTATATACTTTACCTCATTTTGAAAATTATAATTTTTAACTACCCAGTACAGTGGTGCCCCAAGTTTCGAACTTCCTTCATTCCAGAAGTCTGTTGAGTGCTGTTACCGAATGAATTTGTTCCCACAAGGAATAATGTAAATTAGATTAGTCCTTTTCAGACCCCCAAAAATACACTTACAAATGCACTTACACTAATACACTTACATAATTGGTCGAGTTGGGAGCAGTTTGAAACTCGGGGTACTACTGTAATTAAAATACGTTACCATGGGGTTAACCATAATAATTTTTGACCTGTGGCTGAGCCTCTTTCACCAGCAACACTAAAATAACCGACACATTTTATACATTCACCTTTAACTGTAGGCACCTGCTGGCCAGTAGGTAGTGGGCACGAAGAGACAGGTTGACAGGTGTGTGATGCAGAGCCAAGATGGAGGCCTGTAGGTTCAATGGAGAAGGGCTGTCCTCCTCTTCTCCACTCTGAAGCATGATTATTACAATAAAAACTAAGCACTAAACCCACAAGGTACTCTGAAACAAGACATTGCATTATAATCATCAGGAAGTACCATATCTATAAGAGTATCACAGTTAATTGGAATCTTAAATAATCAGGACTGATCCAAGGAAGCTGAGATTAGCTCCAGTTCTTGGATCAAACCCCTTTAGCAGCACAAATGCACCCATCTTGAAGGGTGGGCCAGGTTACACTGTAATCAGGAAGCATTAAACCCATAGGAGCTATACAGTACATGAATAGGATGCTATCAGATTCATCCAAAGAAAGGGAAGGATAGGTTCTCTTCCTTGGATCAAGTGCCCCTTACAATGCAAACTAAGGGATACAAAGCATCACAGCTCAAGATAGACTACAACTAAGATTGCTCAAATGAGCAAAATTCATGAAAAAATGGTTCAAACTATACACCTAGAGAGAGGTGGATGAGAAAAAAAAACTGTAAAGGTGGAAAATTTATTTAGCATACTGTGCCCATTTTTGTTTAATCAGGATTTCAAATGTACTGTATTTGATATCTAACAATACACAAAACCTACACTTTGGAGACAAACCTATGACATTTCAGTCCAACTTGGACCATTAGTCACACTGATTTATTAATGATCCAAGTCAGACTGAAACATCATGAGTTTCAGGCTGAAAATTATTTGTGTATTGTTAAATTCACAGTATTGTTGCTTCTTTAATAATAATAATAATAATAATAATAATAATAATAATAACAATCATATATTTTTAACAACGGCCATCTTCAAACAATGTAGGGTAACCAAAGAAAATACTATCACCATCATTCACTCTCACTATCTTGCCATAGTCCACATGCCCTTCCAAACTGCAATTATACCCACCCTTCCTTCAGAGTGAAGGCACTGTACTTAACACCTCCAGGATTCAAGTCCAGCTAACCAGTTTCCCTGAATTCCTTCACAAAATGTTACCTTGCTCCAACAGATAATCGAGTCTTGGCCAAAAACCATTTGCCTCCACTCACTATTATCCAACACACTCGCATATGTCTGCTGGATGTCAAAACCTCTCAAAACCTTTACCTCCCCTTCCTCCAATCTTTCCTAGGGCAACCCCTACCCCATTTTTCCTCCACAACAGATTTATACACCCTCTCTAAATGTCCAAACCACCTCAACTGGATAATACTTTTAGTAACCCTGCACCTCCTTCTAATCTCCAAGCTACGAACTGCCATTAAAGGATCATTTTATCTACTTTTCCACTGTCAATATTTTATACCATTTATCTCCATCATGAAGCCCTAAATCCTAAAGTGAGAGCAACTATTGTAAAGGGTTTAGTAAGTTTGGGGTGCCAGAGGTAAATGATAATGGGGGGCCTTTGAACTTTGTATAGGTAGAGGTTTGGTAAAAGGAAATGCATATTTTAAGAAAAAGAGGATAAGTATACAAGATATGATATAGGGTGTAATGACAATAGTATCTTGGACTATGTATTGGTGGATAAAAGGTTGATGGGTAGACTTCAGGTTGTGCATGTTTATATAAGGGCAACAGATGTATCAGATCCTTCAGTGAGAGTAAGAGAGAGATGGGAGAACAAGGAAAAATGGCATCAATGAGTAAAGAAGTGGAAGTTTATAAACTAGAGGAAGAGGTAGTTTGGGTAAGATACAAGCAACTATTGGGAGAAAGATGGGCTAGTGAGAGTATAGGGAATGAGGCTGAGAGTATGGGGCAGATTGAAATATGCTGTGTTAGGCATGTGTGCAGCAGTAGATTGTGGATATAGGAAGGTGGGTGAGAGGGAAGAGGAACAATTGGTGGAATGAGGTAAAGGAAAGTGGTAAAGGAGAAAAAGTTAGTATATGTGAGGTTTTAAGCAGAAGTGACATAAGGAGGGTGGAGTATATGGAGAGTAAAGAGGTTGAGAGAATGGTGGGGAAGTGTAAAAGGAGAGCAAACAAGTGAGTGAGGTTCTGTCAAATTTTGTGATTAAGAAAGTTTTAGTGAGATTAATAGTTTGAGAAAGCCTAAGGAACAAATGGATCTGACAGTTAAAGACAGAAGAGGAGAGATGAATGTATTAGGAAGATGGTGGGAATATTGTGAGCTGCTAAATGTTGATTACAGGGAGGCAGTGATTTCATGCCAGGGAGGTATATCCTTCAGGAGCGAGGAAGAGCCATATGTGAGGGGTGGATGAGGTAGTGGGTAAAATGAAAGGGAGTAAAGCAGCTGGAATTGATAGCATCAGTTATGTCAACGTGACAGTTTTTACAAAATTGGACATTCAACAGTATACTTTAGAAAGTCTCTGGTTATGCAGAGCAAACAGTGGCCAGAGCATTTATAGAACGCTTCCAATGGGGACTAAGGTAGTGCATGGGCATCATGGTCCATATGGTTGCAAACCAGTCTGAGTGAAAGGAGAGAAGGGGAGGGGAAGTATACAGTGGACCCACGCCTTACGATATTATTTCATTCCAGAAGTCTGTTCGGGTGCCGTTAGAGACCGAATTTGTTCCCATAAGGAATATTGTGAATTAGATTAGTCCATTTCAGGCCCCCAAAAATACACGTACAAAAGCACTTACAAAAATACACTTACATAATTGGTCGAGTTGGGAGCTGATTGTAAGGCGGGGGTCCACTGTAAAGTATTTTGGAAGATGGGAATGGCCTAAAAAATTAGGAACCCTTGAGTGTTACAATGGTGCAATGTGACTACATAAAGGCTTTCTGGACAACCTAAATGTTTTCCACAGAACCCTTCGAGGCATCTAGGAAGCACAGCTGTTGAAGCAGATTATATACGCCCACCATATTACATTTATAATTCCATATATGCAATACCTGCAGGGGTCATACAGTGCCTGGGGAGTGAGAGGCAATCAGGTTCCATTCAAGGATAGGACAGGTAGAATCCCTTGAATAAGTGCCCTTCATTATCCTTTAAAGGCACAGGGAAAATGAATGGAGTCTTACAGCAGAAACAGTGGAGGGGAAAAGGACAACATATAAAGTATGAAGGGTGTGCTGAAGAGGTCAGTTTGTTTCACAAATAAGTATTAGTGAAGTGTTTGCATTTAAGGTGGACATTCTAAGGCTGTCCTCCAGAGCCTAGTCTAGGGAAGATTAATTTTGAATGGAGAAATTTCCCTGCATGCCCTTTCACAATAAAAATGTTACAAAAATACATCCAGTAAAACTTGCAGAAGGCTATGTGGGATTTCTAGATTCAGGCATGAAAGGGCTACAATGGCAGCAAAAAAAAATCAAGTCTGGCACAACAGAGTACACAAAACGATGTCAAGGAACAAAGTGATGAGAGTTTTGGTTTGTGGGTACTTGCCTATATGTGGCTGCAGGGGTAGTTTCAGCTTCTAGCTCTGCCTCTCAACTGGCTTGCCAGATTCACTCCTAGCCTTATGGGCCATATCATACCTGTTCTTAAAATTATGCACAGAATCTGTGGGGGCATTGACCCCCAAAACCCTCTCCAGGTATACCTCTTATCAATTTCATTTCACTTCCCAACGACCTTGAGACTGCAGAATTACTGCATATCATGGTCAGAAAGTGGTGTAACTTCCAGCTGCACCCCTGAGTACCTGTCTCCAATAGCCTGTCCTTTTCTGCCCTATTAATGCCTCATTTTTGTATGTCTCTCCTGGTCCTTCTGTCTTTAAATTGTTCTCCTGTGACCTTTCCTTGTAGCTCATACCCCTTAGCTCTGAACCAGTTTTGTCACATACTGCTGCATTTTTCTCGTTTCTGAACATGCTTGTGGGTTCTATATTGGTGCTTTGTATGCCAAGATGGGTCTGCCATGTCGTATAAAGTACAAGGAACAACTGTTAGAGATTCTTGAAGGCCACTCTGATTTGCCATGTGAGCATTGGCTGCAGAGGTTTTTCAGTTGATGATAGCCTTGGGCAATATGCTTAACTCCCAGGTCCTGTGTGTGCAGTCTGCAGCCTCTCTCCAATTGTCTGGCCCTTTCTCTAGCCTTTTTAACCTTGCATTTGCTGGAGTTTAATTCAAGCAACCAATTATCTGACCAGCCCTGCAGTTTGTCCACATCCTTCTGCAGATTTTTCCATCCACTTTCTTTGTATTCTCAAATAGTTCTAACCTTTTCTGGGTCGAGAGGCCCTCTCCTAAACTTGTTCTCAGAGTCGGAAATTTTTCGGAAAAATTTTTTTTTTCTTATGAAAAGATAGAGAATCTTTTCCCGATCATAATGACACCAAAAGTATGAAATTTGATTGAAAACGGAATTATGCTCTCGTGAAGTTAGCGGTCTCGACGATGTTTACGCATCCTCGATTTCGCCCACTTTGAGCCCTATTTTCGGCCAATTCTATTGTACTAGTCGACAAAAATCATAACTATTTCGCTAGAACTCCATTTTTTCTATTAAATGAGTACAAGAAACCACCCATTTACCAATTTCAACTATCCAATAAAGTGGTCAGAAATTAGCAATTTTGCCAATTTCACACAATATTTCAAGATGCCAATTTTCAAATAAGGTCCAGAATAAACAAGACAGACATTCCTGGCACTAATATAACATTTTCTCTGTTCATTACTCATGTCCCCAAGCCCCTCTTACATTTCTTTTACTAACTGAATTTTATTCAAAAAAAAATTAATATCAGATGCATTGTGAAAGGATATTAACATCACTAAGTTAGATTCGTGATTGTATTGGACGCGTAGCATTTGTTTACTTTTGAACTTTGGCAAAAATCGAATTATCTCAATTTCTGTAATGTCTCCCATTCTATAAAATGAGACCAGGAAAACTAGAATACAACCATAAACACCATACGAAAATACAGTGCAAAGTCGCTGTTTTAAACCGAAAACATGGTCAAAGTTTTTTTTTCTCATTATGCACTGTGTGCTGCAGGATTTTTTTTATACTGTGCACACTGACCACAGACCCATTCTTTTGTATGTAGGCCTACCAGCTTTCTCTCGCTAGATTTGAAGGAGCTAGAATTTAGGCGTACAAGTATGTCAATAACCCTAGTGCGTCAGCTGTACTAGTACGTCGGAAACCTTACAAGGGTTAAATCAGCAAACAGATACATCTAACAGATTATATTAGTAATACTATCTATTTCTACAAGAACATGTAAAAAGTATACAGGCCTTGCTGACATCAACGACACACTACTGTACTATATAGAAAACTGCTCGTTATGCAGAGCATTTCGGGTAAATTGTCAGTTTTGTCCCAGGATGCAACCCACACCAGTTGACTAACACCCAGGTACCCATTATTACTGATGGGTGAACATGGACAACTGGTGTAAGGAAACATGCCCAATGTTTCCACTCTTTGCCAGGAATTGAACCTGATCCCTCAACGTGTGATACGAGAGCTTTTTCCACCAGGCCACCATAATACACAAAGTCCATGTGATTAATTCAACAGTATTAATTATAAGTTAACCAGTTATAACTATGCTACCAAACTAGCCAATATATTTCAAGTTGAAGGGGGGGGGGAGTGAGGCACTGCCGATACAAGGGCAATGCAGTTGGTAGCTACAGCTACTTGTTTGGGGGAAAGATCACAATTATGGGTAAGTGCTAAACCCATATGGGTTATATAGCACAAAGAAAATGAAATTTTTGATCAATAGGAGAGGCTGGATGGTACGAGAGACAAAACTTCCATTCAAAATTTCCTCAAACACAGGTAAGAGAAATTCAGTAATACCTTCATTTCTTTATTAAAAAAAAAAAAATAATATATACACAGGTCAACCATAAAAGGCAGCCCTGAAAGACCCATACAGGTTCAGTATCTTTCAGAATATATCAATAAAAAGGACAGACTGTAGATAAACCAAACCTCCCAGTAAGGTACTATCACTGTGATGGGAGGCACTTCAACCCTACCACAGTGGTAGTTCCTACCTCGGAAATTATGAATTACACTCCTAGGCCATTTACACTGGATTTTAGACACCCTAGGAACTTTAACAGTGCCACTTACCTACTTCATTGCTTTTTACCTCCCAGGTCATCCATGTAGCAATCACAGCTGCAAACTGGATGAGTGTGAAATCTCTAGTCATGACTTAAACTACATGTACCAGAGACACACCCATCTAGTCAACCCTGCATTTCAAATAACCACCATTCCAATATACATAATGCTTATAAAAAAATTACAGATACTTACTGCCATCAACAGGGACAATGTCTCGAGTTCTGCACTGCAAAGATCTAAACTGTAGAAAACTTGAGCTATGTTGTAGATAGCAGAGACACATTTCTGACTCTTATCAACAGCTGCTTGAAGTTTTAATAATGCTGTATGAGGTTTTCCTAATTTTAAAAGGCAAAGTCCTGTAAGCCAAAATATCCATCCTTGTAGGTCTGCTCCACATTCAGATTGTGGAATACAATGCAAGCAATTTAGGCTTTCTTCAAAATTCCCTTTCTTGTAGAGCTGGCTTCCATGGAGAAATTTTACTGTTGAACCAATGTATCCACCTTCAAAATCCACATTAACTGTATCACCTCCGAGCATCATGGCCGAGTAAAAAAGGAGACCATTCAGTGCAGATACATCTTCAGTGCAGCCAGCTGCATCCATCAGCCATACAGGAGTAGTAGTGTTAAACCATTTTTTCTCCCAGGTAAGAGTCTCTCGTAGTTCAACAATATCACATCCGGGGGGTAGAAGGTTGGCACGTAATAATAATAATGTTGAGACAGCACTGCACTTCCATTCACATTTCAACATGTGAATTAAACTTGAAAATTCTGCACTGCCTCCATCTTCAAACCCTGCAAATTAAAATTTTAATATTACTATATTACATAAAATATTCATTAGTATAAAAATGCATTTTACACTTAGTAAGGCTCCTAAGATTAGTGTTAACTAAATATTCCTGGAGTAACAAGTCTAACATTAGTTTTTTTTTTTTAATTTAACCCTTAAGGCTAGAGTCCCTGAATTTGGCCAACTCTTTTATTTTTCAACCAATTTTTTTTATTTTTGGTGTACATTTAGAGGTTCATATGTAGAAGAATGTGACAAAGTTTCAGTATGATTGGCCAACAAACAACAGAGAAAAAAAATATTTCAGTGACTTCATATATGGCAGCAAAGTATGACAAAATGGCACTTCGAGTGGCACTTCCGACAATCCCAACCGTTAGAATACATCTGACACTAATTTTGGATGCACATGTTTCATCTAATATATCTTATTATCATGGAAAAAAAAAAAAATACATTTGATAGACTTTTTTGCATTCACCAAAATATCTGCCTTTTACCTCCCACAAAATCAAAAATATTTGATATATTCCAAAAAAAGAATCATCAGATTTTCAAACACACCTTGTTTTATATTGTCAGTGAAAATCATTTCAATACAATCATTAATAATGGTGTACTTTAGCGAAATATGTGAAAAAGTTACTTCCGAGATATAGGCCTAGAAAACGTCGGCAGGCCTACCGTCTCAAAAAAATTTTTTTTTGCGCGGAAATTGGGTTTTTTTTGGTGTATTTCTTAGTAAACTGATGTTCTAGTGCAGTTATCCTCTTCAAAACACCGTTTTCTATCACTCACATAACAAACAATAGAACAAGGAGACGAGGAGTAACACATTTATATCGAAATATTGCTGGTGGACTCTCGCTATATTATGGCCTATTTTATTCAGTCTAGAGTATATAACATGTTTCTTTGTTATTTATAGTGTTTATTATATCATATTAGATCAATTCTGATAGATAAATAAGCCGTATAGTTGATATATAAGCTGATATAAACGTAATAATGAAGTGATTTCACCTGGCACCATCTGGAGGGGAAGTACTGCCGAGTGTTCTCAGATGGCTCCCTATTGGCTGGCACTCTACTGATAAGCTCCACTTACTCTTATATGATGCCAAATAATCAATTATTATATTAGAAAGAATAATGCAAAGAAAAAGCAATAAAAAACAAGGAAAAAATTCCAAAAAATACTTGGGTTGAGAACAGACGCGCTACCTACATCGTCGTTACCATACCTGATATAAATGACTATAATTTCTTGTAGAAACGTCTTAGAACATTGATTCTTGTACCATTGTGTTGCCAAAGAGTTAAGCTATTTTTTGGTATATATAACTCAATGTCCATAATTTTTCGATTTTTGGTTGAGCGCGCGCGGAAAATTGCCCACATGCTCCCTTAAACTGTCCAAACGTAGATCTACGTTTTTTTTGTTCTTTCTTATGGGGAAAATCAAAGTCGGAGCACTACGCATAAAAACGTAGATCTATGTTTGGACAGTTTAAGGGTTAATGCACTCCCACAACCATCCCGTGGGCAGTAGTCAAAAGATTAATGGGCACATAATGTGTCCAGGTGGGCCTCAGTTTTGGCAGCTAAGTTATAATGGTAATTAACCCTTTGAGGGTCCGTGCCGTAGATCTATGGCTTTACGTTGAGAGTACAAACCATAGATCTACGTCATGAGCTCAGCTCACTCTGATAAGCTGTGAGCGGTAAATTTTGGCCTAGATATGAAAGAATACATCTATGTGGTATGTGTGCACCACACAAAACAAATCCTGCAGCACATAGTGCATAATGAGAGAAAAAAACCTGAGACTGTTTTTTTTTTATAAAAACAGCAACTTTCCAGTGTTTTTTCGTATGTTTTTTTGTAATTGTATTTGTGATTTCTTGGTCTCATTTGATAGAATGGAAGATATGTTACAGAAACAGAGATGATTTTGATTGGTTTTAGTACTGGAAATGACTTGAAACTGAGCTCAAAGTAGCGGAAATGTTAAATTTTTGCCAATGTTCAAGAGTAAACAAATGACCTCACACGTCTAATACATGCCTGCTGGTGGGTCTAATATAAGTTCACAAATGTGGTGATACTATTTATACAATTATTACAATATTGCATAACAGTAAATCTTCTATTTTTTGGTTTGAATAAAAATTTATTATGTGAATAAAAAATCAAAATGGAATTCATTAGTAAAGCCTGAAAACAAAACTATTGAACAGAGGAAATGTTAGTTTAGTGCCAGGAATGCCTGCATTGTTTATTCTGGACCCTATTTTGAAATTGGAGTATTTTGAACTTTGCATTAAATTGGCCAAATTACCAATTTCCGGTCACTTTATTTTGTAGTTTAAACAGTTGACTCGGCGAATTCTTGTGCTCAATCGGTAGAATAGAAGTAATACTAGTGAAATAGCTAAAAATTTGGTTGACTGAAATTATGTAATTGACCAAAAATGGGAGTCAAAGTCGGCAAAATCACCGATTCGTAAATATCGCTGACACAAAAATTTGCAAGAGCATAATTTTGTCAAATTTCCATCAAATTTCGTACTTTTTGTTTTATTACCCTCAGAAAAAGATTCTCTAGCATTTCATAAGAAAAAATAACAAAATTATTTTTTGAAAACTCTTGGACACTGGTGCACACTTTGAAATTTGGCCTGTGGACCCTGAAAGGGTTAACTATATTTACACATTTACTCCCCTCCATACTGCACATATTTGCTATTTCTAAAATACCCTTAAGTGAAAGGTGAGAAATGCTTTCCTACAGCTGCTGAATTTCAACGTCCAATTTTAATTGCTTTTAGTCTATTTTTTTTATTACATTTATACATGAATTTATTCACTAATCTAAAATCCTAGATTGCTCTAGACATTCCATAAATTTCAAGATTCTCTTAGCTCCAGCCATGTCTAAAACGGTGGGATAAATCCATGGGAAGATGCACTGTAAAAAGACCAGGCATTTTCTGCAAGCAGGTTGTCTATGTACAAGGTAGGTGTGCAGTATCAGTCTACAAAGAATAGTAGTCACAGGTATGTCTGGGCACACTATAGAGCCTTTTTTCATTACCAGAGTCTATATATGCCCTGAGCACTGACAATCCTCTATAAGTTGGTTTTATAACAAACCATATCATTAAAAATCATATATATAGTGTACATTATATTCAAAGCCTACATCAAAAAGGTTCCATGAAAATAGTGTGCTTGCTTTGCTTAGCCTAGCATTCGACAGAGCAATATACATTCAGACAATGATACGTCTCCTCAGGGTGTAATTCTTGTGACAATATACCCACTTATCAGTGTTCAATCAGACTCCTTTATTCTATTAAGCTTTATTATAGTGAAGATACATTACTGCCTTCTCTTAGCAATATATTTGGCAAAACAGATAATTAATTTTTCCACTTCTCCTATCCAAGATAAGACAGGCTAGTTTTTTAGTGGAAGTTCTGAATTAGTGTTGGGCTGCGCATGTCTTAATTTGCCATTTTATTGAGAACTGGACGTTAATTATTTTAGCCATAGTAGAATAAAACAGGGCAGTTTTTCTTCGATAAATCCAGACCCTCCCCCATTCCCAGTTCACTGAACACTTCCTAAAGGAAAAAATCCACCGACTAGAAGCCAGAATGAACTTCAAAGAATTACAATTTACACATTCTATACAAACATTTAATTTTAGAGTAGAGTATGTGCGAGATTCCAATGGCAACTGTTAAATAAATGGATAAATGAACTGATGGAAATAGAAAGTGAAATCAGGCCAACTGAATACTGACAATATATTGAAGGTACTGTATCAGAGGGACCTAGGAGTTGAAAATTAAATAAGCAAATTACAGAGGATGGAACATTATGAGCATAGCTCTCATACTGTAGCTATAAGTAAGAGAATTTAGGCACAGGTACACAAGTACAATTATTATACATAGCAACATGTGTTAATTACCTAGGATTATAAAGTTTGTTTTAAAAGTACCCTTGGATGCTATGCAAAATAAGCAAAAGGCCATAAGCAGGTAAAATGAAAAGTTTGCCACTTACATCTTTCAAAGAAATCAGCAACAACTCCTTTGATCAAAAGCAAATTGCACTGCCCAGGGAAGGACATTGCCATGTATAATATTGTAATAACCAATTCACACTCTTCATCAAAGCTGCTGCATGTTGGAGATGACAAGAACTTTGTCGATCCAAGATCAAGCAATCTTGTAATTGATGCCTCACAGGCCTGAGAAGAGAATCAAATAATCTGCCATCAACAACAAAAAAGGCACAATAGCATGACTGGAGCAATACATAAATAACCACACACAGGAAGGAGGAGCTATACATTAACGTTTCGGTCCGACCTGGACTATGTGTGGGCTATTTGTGAATTTGCCACTGCTTAAAATGGCCTAACCTACTATTTTTAAATTAATGCTACTGGTTAAGCTGCATAAATGAACATACATTAGTACAGTGGTACCTCGGGATACGAACAGCTCAAAACCAGAACAATTATGTAAGTGTATTTACATTAGTGCTTTTATAAGTGTATTTTTGGGGGTCTGACAATGATTGTAACGTAATTTACATTATTTCTTATGGGAACAAATTCGTTCGGTATTGGCACTTGAAACAGCCTTCTGGAATGAATTAAGTTCATGCCCCGAGGTACCACTGTAAAAAAAAAAAAAATCATGTTTACTCTTCACAATCAGTCTTGCCAGACGTTTAAGTCACAGCTCTAAAAATGCCCAAGATGACTGATGAGAGCATACAAGGTCATAAAAGCAGAAACGAAGAGAATTTTTCTTACCTGCAACAGGTATAGAAAGATGTAAACTGAGAAAAGTGGAGCTGAAGGGATACTAGCAATTTTTTCTTTGCAAACAGCAATAGACCAATGGAATGAATTAACCATTAAATGGTCCAAACGTATATATAAGTTTTTTCAACATCTGAATCTATGTAAAAAAATGTAGATCTTCTTTTTTGTTTTACATTTGAAAACGTGTAAAAAAAAACTTATCTACATTTTTTTTGTTACATTTGAAAATATGTTAAAAAAAGTAGGTCTACTTTTGTAGCACTACGAATTTGAACGTCGGTTTGTTTGGACCGTTTAAGGGTTAAAAGAACGAAAGCAGTACAAATTATATAATGAACAATTTACTGAAGACCTTAACAAATTTGATTGCTTCTTCTCTCTTTTTTGTCAAATATGGACAAGCAACTAAGTGATTAATTGAAGTACTGTACTGAGATATGGAGAATACAAGTGGAAGACAAGTACGTATAAATAATGGATATTTAATTATAAATCTAATGCTGATATCAAAACAAGAAATTAAAAGTCAAGTTACATTTATAGAAACCATGAAATTATATATATATAAAAAAGGGGCTAAATCCAGAAAATATGAAAGTCAAGTCCCTAATAAGACTAAAGTTTATGCAGGTACACAAATACAGTTACATAAATTATCATACATAGCAGCATATGTGTAGAGAACCTGGGATAACCCAAAAAAGTCAGAAGGTAGGGAAAGTATAATAAGTTTATTTAGGTACAAGCCCACACAAGTACAGTGGACCCCCGGTTAACGATATTTTTTCACTCCAAAAGTATGTTCAGGTGCCAGGACTGACCGAATTTGTTCCCATAAGAAATATTGTGAAGTAGATTAGTCCATTTCAGACCCCCAAACATACACGTACAAAAGCACTTACTTAAATACACTTACATAATTGGTCGCATTCGGAGGTAATCGTTATGCGGGGGTCCACTGTATAATTATCATGCATAGTAATGTGTAAATTACCTAGGATAAACCCAAAATGTCAGACGGAGGGACTTATTTTCGTTAGGGTCCTTATCATTTCAAGACTACCTACCTACCTAGAGGGTATTCCAGGGATCAACGTCCCTGCGGCCGGGAAAGTTACAATAGAAACCAGTCATGTTTATAACCTTAAGTTAAAACAACTAAGTAACTCAACTGTGCTAAAATCAGTTAGGTTCAATCCAAGATGGGAAAGACATCCAATTCCTAGGATAAGAAGCTCCCCCACCTGCAACATGGAACCTACCTCGAGGGAAGTAGATTGGGAGGTTTTAGACAAGTGGAAGAACCGTGTAAAGTTAAGAGGGATCAAAGCTAGCACCTAAGTAAGCTTAATGCAAGTGATGACCAAAAGAGAAGCAAGTTGGTCCATTTTTTTTTTTTAGAGCTATCCTAGGTAACGCACAATATGTATGTTAATTGTACATGTGTACCTGTACATAAATAAACTTACTAGTGGCATTTAAAGGTTTACCTAGTATGGGCCAACAAGTCTGAAGTGCTCGGGTAGGTTCACGGTATTCCGAGTTAAAAAAAACCAAGTACGTAGATGCAAAGACTAATACACGTAGCCAGAATCTATCCTACAATAGATCAGCATTTCTATTTATAATATTAGAAATACTGCAGTAAGCCTACTAGCTTAGGACTGTGTTAGGCCATACTGAGCAAACACCATCAAGCATTTTCTTTAGCTCAACATTAAATCCCGATCCTTAAGTTTACGATTGGATAACTTAAATAAATTATGAAACTAAATTTACTCGTTAACTAATATTCAATACAATAGATAAAATATTCATCAATATTAAATGCAAAACGTAAAACTAAGCAGAAAAAATATAAATTTGTAGTCTAGGGTAGTCGAACCTAGCCTAGCCTAGGCCTCATTCAAAATCCATATTAAAAATGCTGAAAATCAATTAAAATGCAATAGGAACAATACAGTAAACAATTAAGTCTAGTAATTCCTAGTCTTATTATTATTAATGTATTAAACAAAATAGATGAGATTTAACTAAAGTAGGCATATACAACTTCAGCCAATATTCCACGTTAAGCCTAGATCTAGGATGACTAAAAGCAAAACAAATGTAAATTCTAAGCAGAAGTATAATATAAAATGGGAAAATGCTGCCAATAAACACAGGTCAGCTTAGCCTAGCGAAGGCTAGGCTAGGCTAGCCTCTATGCTACTAATTATAAATCCTAAAATTATAATTAAAAAAATAAAAAGGAATATGTCACCAATACACACAGATCAGCCTACTCCGGCCTGGCCTTCCCCGGCCTAGCCTGGCCTGTCCTTCCCTGGCCTAGCCTAGCCTGGTCTCCATGCTACTAGATCTATGATTAAGCAAATCAGCATAAATATAATATATAAATTGTATTAATACAGTAATTATAGCAGTAAATCTAGTAATATGTGGTGTGGGAGTCATGGAAGAGTCTTCCTGGTCTGGCCTGGCCTGGCCTGGTCTGGTCTGGTCTGCTACTAGACCTATGTTAAAACAGGTAAATTAACATAAATACAATAGATAATTGATATTAATACAGTAATTATAGTAATATATGATGAGGGAGTCATGGGAGAAAGTCTTCCTGGCCTAGCCTGGCCTGGCCTGGTCTGGCCTAGCCTAGCCTGCTACTAGACCTAAGTTAAAACGAGTAAATCAACATATATACGAGAGATAATTGGTATTAATACAGTAATTATAGCAATATATGGTGTGGGAGTGATGGGAGAGAGTCGTCCTGGTCTGGGCTGACACATGGCATCCAAGACGCATTTATTTAAGCTTGGCGCCGCCAACATGGCGCCAATTTCATACATGGAGCGTGGCGGCGGCGGCGGCAGCGGCGGCACTGGAAAAAATCAAGTTCCTTGTGGAGGTTAATGTGATACTTACCAGGACATGTTGGGCGAGACGTCTGAGGGAGGCGGCGGCGGCGGCAGGGCGGCAGGGAGGCAGGAACGCCGCCGGTTTGAACGTGGCGGCGGCGGCGGCGGCGGTGGCAGTGGCCGTTACCACGCCACTCCTTTGTTCAGAGTGGCGGCGGCGGTTGTGCCCTCCCCCGCCACTGTCCTCCCTCCCTCCCCTGCCACTCAGCCCTCCTCTCCCCGCCGCCAGGGTGGCAGCCTCCCTGCAAGCACACATTGCATGCCAGGGATGGCAGGGTGATGGAGGTGATGGAGGGTCGTGGAGGACCTGTGGTGATGGTGGCTTGTTCAGCACTGATACTCCCTCCTCCACGATGCTCTCCCTCCCTCCCAGCCCTCTCTGGCCCTCCCTCTCCCACCCCGACCCATCAGACCTCCCTTTTCCCACCCATCTATTAGTCACCCTCCTCCCAGTCCTTCCTACCTCCCTCCTTCACTAACCCTCCCCCAGCCCCTTACCCTTCCTCAGCCCTCACTAACCCTCCCTCAGCCCCTCACCCTTCCTCAGCCACTCACTAACCCTCCCCCAGCCCCTTACCCTTCCTCAGCCCCTCACTAACCCTCCCTCAGCCCCTCACCCTTCCTCAGCCACTCACTAACCCTCCCCCAGCCCCTCACCCTCCCTCAGCCCCTCACTAACCCTAACTCAGCCCCTCACCAACCCTAACTCAGCCCCTCACCAACCCTCAGCCCCTCACCCTCAGCCCCTCACCAACCCTCAGCCCCTCACCCTCACCCGTCACCCTCAGCCCTCACCAACCCTCAGCCCCTCACCCCCCCTCAGTCCCTCACCAACCCTCATCCCCTCACCCTCTCTCAGCCCCTCACTAACCCCCCCTCACCCCTCACTAACCCCCTTCCCTTACTACCACCCGACTCCCCACCATTAGTCACCCTCCACCCCTCCCTACCACGGCCCCTCACTAACCCTCCCTCTCTCCCTTCCATTACTCACCCTCCCACCCGCCCTTCCCCCCTCACTCCACCCCTCTCTTTCCTCCATCATTCACCAAAACCCCCTCAAAACCCCTTCCCTCCCGTACATAAGTCACCCCCACTCCTTCCCTTCTTTTCCTCCATTATTTCCTCCACTTCCTCCCAACCATCCCTCACTAACCCCTCCATCACTCCCCTACCATTACACCCCAACCCCACCACATCCTCCCTCCCTCAATAAACCTCCCCCTACAGACCTCCACCTCCCTCAATACCTCCCCCTACAGACCTCCACATCCTCCCTCAATACCTCCCCTACAGACCTCCACATCCTCCCTCAATCCTCCCCTACAGACTTTTCCCCATCCTCAATACCTCCCCCTACAGACCTCATCCTCCCTCAATACCTCCCCCTAAAAGACCTCCACATCCTCCCTCAATACCTCCCTACAGATCTCCACATTTCCCCCCTCAATAACCTCCCCCTTCAGACCTCCCACATCCTCCCTCAATACCTCCCCTACAGACCTCCACATCCTCAATACCTCCCCCTACAAAACCACCACATCCTCAATACCTCCCCCTACAGACCTCCACATTCTCCCTCCCTCAATACCTCCCCTATAGGCCTCCACATCCTCAATACCTCCCCTACAGACCCTCCACATTCTCCCTCCCTCAATACCTCCCCCTACAGACCTCCACATCCTCCCTCAATACCTCCCCCTACAGACCTCCACATCCTCCCTCAATACCTCCCCCTACAGACCTCCACATACTCCCTCAATCCTCCCCTACAGACCTCCACATACTCCCTCAATACCTCCCCCTACAGGGCCACCACATACTCCCCTCAATACCTCCCCCTACAGACTTCCACATCCTCAATACCTACCCCCACAGACCTCCACATCCTCCCTCAATACCTACCCCTACAGACCTCCACATACTCCCTCAATACCTCCCCTACAGACCTCCACATCCTCAATACCTACCTCTACAGACCTCCACATCCTCCCTCAATATTCCCCCTACAGACCTCCACATCCCCCCTCAAATTATCTCCCCCTACAGACCTCCACATCCTCCCTCAATACCTCCCCCTAAGACATTTCCCCATCCTCCCTCCAATACATCCCCCTACAGACCTCCACATACTCCCTCAATACCTCCCCCTACAGACCTCCACATACTCCTCAATACCTCCCCTACAGACCTCCACATACTCCCTCATACCCTCCCCCTACAGACCCACATCCTCCCTCAATACCTCCCCCTACAGACCTCCACATCCTTCCTCATTCCTCAATACCTCCACCTACAGACCTCCACATCCTCCCTCAATACCTACCCCTACAGACCCCCACATCACCCCTCAATCCTACCCCTACAGATTTCCACATCCTCCCTCAATACCTTTCCCCTACAGACCTCCACATCCTCCCTCAATACCTCCCCCTACAGACCCCCACATCCTCAATACCTCCCCCTACAGACCTCCACATCCTCCCTCAATACCTACCCCTAACAGACCCCCACTTCCTCCCTCAATACCCTCCCCCTACAGACCTCCACATACTCCCTCAATACCTCCCCCTACAGACCCCCACATCCTCCCTCAATACCTTCCCCTACAGACCCCCAATCCTCCTCAATACCTCCCCCTAACAGACCCCCACATCCTCCCTCAATACCTTCCCCTACAGACCCCCACATCCTCCCCCAATACCTTCCCCTACAGACCTCCACATCCTCCCTCAATACCTACCCCTACAGACCCTCACATCCTCCCTCAATACCTCCCCTGCAGACCTTCACATCCTCCCTCAATACCTCCCCCTACAGACCTCCAAAATCCCCCTCAATACCTCCCCCCACCGACCTCCACATCCTCCCCAATACATCCCCCCGCAGACCTCCACATCCCCCCTCAATACCTCCCCCTACAGACCCTCACATCCTCCCTCAATACCTCCCCCTACAGACCTCCACATCCTCCCTCAATACCTCCCCCTACAGACCACCACATCCTCCCTCAATACCTTCCCCTACAGACCTCCACATCCTCCCTCAATACCTACCCCTACAGACCCTCACTCCTCCCTCAATACCTTTTCCCCCACAGACCCTCCACATCCTCCCTCAATACCTCCCCCTACAGACCTGCACATCCTCCCTCAATACCTCCCCCTTTCAGACCTCCACATCCCCCCTCAATGCCTCCCCTACAGACCCCCACATCCTCCCTCAGTACCTTCCCCTGCAGACCTCCACATCCTCCCTCATTACCTACCCCTACAGACCCTCACATCCCTCCCCCAATAAACCTCCCCCTGCAGACCTCGACATCCCCCTCAATACCTACCCCTACAGACCCTCACATCCTCCCTCAATACCTTCCCCTACAGACCTCCACATCCTCCCTCAATACCTTCCCCTACAGACCTCCACATCCTCCCCCCAATACCTCCCCCTACAGACCTCCACATCCCTCCCTCAATACCTCCCCCTGCAGACCTCCACATCCCCCCCTCAATGCCTCCCCCTACAGACCCCCACATCCTCCCTCAATACCTTCCCCTACAGACCTCCACATCCTCCCTCAATACCTACCCCCACAGACCCTCACATCCTCCCCCAATACCCCCCCCTACAGACCTCCACATCCTCCCTCAATAACCTCCCCCTACAGACCTGCACATCCTCCCTCAATACCTCCCCCTACAGACCTCCACATCCTCCCTCAATACCTTCCCCTACAGACCTCCACATCCTCCCTCAATACCTACCCCTACAGACCCTCACATCCTCCCTCAATACCTTCCCCTACAGACCTCCACATCCTCCCTCAATACCTCCCCCTACAGACCTCCACATCCTCCCTCAATAAACCCCCCCCTACAGACCTCCACATCCTCCCTCAATACCTCCCCCTACAGACCTCCACATCCCCCCTCAATACCTACCCCTTTCAGACCCCACATCCTCCCTCAATACCTTCCCCTACAGACCTCCACATCCCCCCTCAATGCCTCCCCCTGCAGACCCCCACATCCCCCTCTGCCTCCCCCTGCAGACCCCCACATCCCCCCCAATGCCTCCCCCTGCAGACCCCCACATCCCCCCTCAATGCCTCCCACCTGCAGACCCCCCAAAACCCCCCTCAATGCCTCCCCCTACAGACCTCCACATCCCCCCTCAATGCCTCCCCCTGCAGACCCCCACATCCCCCCTCAATGCCTCCCCTGCAGACCCCCACATCCCCCCTCAATGCCTCCCCCTGCAGACCCCCACATCCCCCCTCAATGCCTCCCCCTACAGACCTCCACATCCCCCCTCAATGCCTCCCCTACAGACCTCCACATCCCCCCTCAATGCCTCCCCCTACAGACCTCCACATCCCCCCTCAATGCCTTCCCCTACAGACCCCCACATCCTCCCTCAATACCTCCCTCTCCAGCTTCCCATACCTCCCCTCCCTCCCAATCTCCCCCACCGTCCCATACACCCCCACGCCTTCCCCCATTAATCCCCCCACCATCTCCCCAGCAACAACATATTAAGAAAAATTAATTAATCCACACCCAAAAAATTATTTTTCATCCACAAAAATTCCCTCCAACAATATAAGCCCCAAATAAATGATGAATATCCTCACAGCTTCATTTTTAAACCCCGTCGAATATATAAATAATATTACCCAATTATTTACATTATTTATATTATAAATAATATTTTAATAAAAATAAAATACATAGTGTAATTATTGATATTTATTATATTTAAAATTCTCATATTTTTAGCCTCAAGAACTATATAAATCGTAACATTTACCTTAAAATATTAATATTAAAGACAGTAATTTAATAAATATGAATTATTTACATTATTATTTATAATTTATATTAATAAAAACACTGATTTTATTTTTGAGTTCGAAAATGTATAAATAAATCCAGCCCTAATTTTTGTTGTCATTGTTAATACCGTTTTAATAATAATTAATAATAATAATAGTAAATTATTTATAGTGTAATTATTTGTATTTATTATATTAAATAAAAATAATAACGGTTTTTTGTTTTTGAGTCATAGAAAATAAATAAATCATAACATTAAACCATTTTTTTACATTATAAATACCATTTTAATATTAATAAGAGTAATAAATTATTTATAGCGGATTTTATCAGATTTATTACATTAAAAAACAACGGCTTTATTTTTGAATTCCCGAAAATATATTTATATCACAACATTAACCCTAAATTTTTTATATTACGAATACCGTTGTAATAATAATAAGAATAATATATTATTTATAGTGAAATGATTATTATTATTATTATAAATAAAATTTAATGGTGCTTCCGTTAGTAATAAAGTAGCGCGCGCGCGCGCGTCTCCAGGCGGGAAAGGTAAATGGCTTTCATTATTAGTTTAATATTAATTCTTCCTCCCACCTCGCCTTGAGGCTGGTGAGAGGGCTCTTGATCCCGGGAACTGGAGTATGGAGGTCTTCCACTTCCTGGGATCAAACCTCACTCCCATTTACCCCTTCCCCTGGCGTTATTTGGCCTCCCCTGTGGGTTTAGCGCTCTCCCGGTGTTTAAAATGTTATACATATTACATTTACGACCCCAGTGGAAACACGTCACTGACATTTGACTTGTGGGTTTAGCGCTTAGTTTTGATTATAATGATAATTGACTTATTTTTTTGACCCTTGTGGGTTTAGCGCTTAGTTTTCATTATAATAGTGATACTTGGTTTATTTTGCGGTTGTTCGTGACTGATTTCTACTGTACTTTATTGTTAGGCTGTAATTAATAAGTTATTACAGTCATCATCATCATCATCATCAGTCATCATCATCAGTCATCATCATCATCATCTTAATCAAACATCTCAGTCATCATCCAAATATCAATCATTATCAATCATCTCAATCCAAATATCATCAGTCATCATCATCATTATTAATCATCAATCAATCATCATCCATCATCATCAAAACCAAGCACTAAACCCACAAGGGTCTTACGATACTTCTCATATATAACTATGTATGATAATTTGTGTAACTGTATTTACATGTTCCTGTACCTAAATAAACTTTACTTATAGGCCTATGTCACAGTTTCTCCCGTTCTTATATCTTCCTTATAGGCCCAGCACAGTCACAATGACCAGCCAGGACACACCAGAGGTCGTGTACGTTGCTGACCTGCAACTTATTAAGTCTTACGATGAAGTGCCGTTTCTGAAACACAGGGTGAGCCCAGAGTTTTATAATTGAGTTTTCTTGCTGTTTATCTGAACTAAATTCTTTACATGATCTACTCTGTCTGACGAGTTTAATATTTTCGCAGTTATCGCCATGTAATCTAATTCCGTTGTTTCTTTGGGGTTTAAATCTGCTACGTGTAAAATATTTTTAACACAGATTTTCTATTTAATATCTTCATTTTTTTACTCCACTTCGTTGATTTTTTTATCACTATTTCTTCGTGTTTGTCTTTAACATGTACTATAGTTTATTCTTTGCAAATGTAAATAAAAGATTTGGTTCCATCTTGCTTTTATCTACTATTTCCTTCTTACAGTTCCTTTTTTTACCATTTTCTCCTTCATTTTTGTATTTATTTCTGGCTTGTTCATATTTCTGATATAACTGGACTGGTTTGCTCCCTACAGTGGTTCTCAGTCCTTTATATTTCCATAGTTCTAGGACCACAATGGAAATAAGTCACTGTCTGACTTTTTTGGGTTATTCCAGGTTCTCTACACATATGCTGCTATGTATGATAATCTATGTAACTGTGTTAACCTGAATAAATTTACTTACCTTTCATTAAACAATTTTTTAATACGTATTTAATATTAGTACAGTGGACCCCCAGTTTACGATCAGCTCCTAATGCGACCAATTATGTAAATGTATTTCATGAAGTTTGCGTTTGTTGAGTGTTGTACTTTTGGAAAAGTATGAAAGGGGGGTAAGTCTAATTGCACAATATTCCCCTTTTATGGGAAAAGTCGGTCAGATGGATTGAAAAATTATGAAATAATTTTCGTAATACCGGAAGGTCACGGTATACAATTTAGAAATAGATTGAATCAAACCTATTGCCATGGCAAAGTTTCACATTATTTCTGTTCAGGCATAGATAAATATGTAACATTTTCAGATAAGGTTAAAGTTTTTATTCATCTTTAGGATTTAGAAACAGCATATTCATAGATGGATAAGTTAAGCATATATGGCAAAGTTGCAAGTTTTAATATGGATATTCATCTTTAAAAGTTTAAGGATAGACTTTATTGGTGTAGACAAGTTAAACATACTTCTAAAATATTCTTAGACAAGGTTTAGCACCATGTTTTATATTTTTAGGAAGTTTAACAAAGTAAATGCAGGTGTTGGAGGGGGATTTAATTATGGAATCTAATCATAAATGGAATTGCATCTTTTCCTTTTCCAAAGGGAAATTTAAAAACATATTTTATTTAGAGTTTAAATTTTATTTAAGAAAAGTTTAAATACATTTCTTTTAGGGTTATATCAAAAATTTTTTGAAAAGAAAAATTGGATATCAAATTGGGGAGGAGGAGTATGGAAGAAATGAATGTTTTCAGATACTACTTGGGAGTTGACGTGTCGGCGGATGGATTTATGAAGGATGAGGTTAATCATAGAATTGATGAGGGAAAAAAGGTGAGTGGTTGCGTTGAGGTATATGTGGAGTCAAAAACGTTATCTATGGAGGCAAAGAAGGGAATGTATGAAAGTATAGTAGTACCAACACTCTTATATGGATGTGAAGCTTGGGTGGTAAATGCAGCAGCGAGGAGACGGTTGGAGGCAGTGGAGATGTCCTGTCTAAGGGCAATGTGTGGTGTAAATATTATGCAGAAAATTCGGAGGTGGGAAATTAGGAGAAGGTGTGGAGTTAATAAAAGCATTAGTCGAGGGCAGAAGAGGGGTTGTTGAGGTGGTTTGGTCATTTAGAGAGAATGGATCAAAGTAGAATGACATGGAAAGCATATAAATCTCTAGGGGAAGGAAAGAGGGGTAGGGGTCGTCCTCGAAAGGGTTGGAAAGAGGGGGTAAAGGAGGTTTTGTGGGCGAGGGGCTTGGACTTCCAGCAAGACGTGCATGAGCGTGTTAGATAGGAGTGAATGGAGACGAATGATACTTGGGACCTGACGATCTGTTGGAGTGTGAGCAGGATATATTTAGTGAAGGGTTCAGGTGAAACCGGTTATTTTTATATAGTCGGACTTGTGTCTGGAAATGGGAAGTACAATGCCTGCAACTTTAAAGGAGTGGTTTGGTTATTGGCAGTTTGGGGATATGTTGTTGTATCTTTTATACGTATATGCTTCTAATACTGTTGTATTCTGAGCACCTCTGCAAAAGCAGTGATAATGTGTGAGTGTGGTGAAAGTGTTGAATGATTGATGAAAGTATTTTCTTTTTGGGGATTTTCTTTCTTTTTTGGGTCACCCTGCCTCGGTGGGAGACGACCGACTTGTTGAAAAAAAAAAAATTATGTAAGTGCGTTTGTATGTGTATGTTTGGGGGTCTGAAATGGACTAATCTATTACATATTCCTTATGCGGAACAATATTCGGTCAAGTACTGGTCTGAACATTGGGATGAAATAATATCGTAAACCAGGGGTCATGAACAATTAGAATAATAATTGCAACTATCCTCTTTCAGGCAAGTTTAACATCATTTTCCTCTTTCCAGGCAAGTTAACTAATTCATCTTCAGACAGTTTAACATCATTTCAATCTTTCCAGCAAGTTTAACATCATTCATTTTTCAGACAAGTTTAACATCATTTTCATCTTTCCAGGCAAGTTTAACATCATTTTCCTCTTTCCAGACAAGTTTAACATCATATTCATCTTTCCAGACAAGTTTAACATAATTTTCATCTTTCCAGGCAAGTTTAACATCATTTTCATCTTTCCAGGTAAGTTTAACATCATTTTCATCTTTCCAGGCAAGTTTAACATCAGTTTCATCTTTCCAGACAAGTTTAACATCATATTCATCTTTCCAGACAAGTTTAACATTTCATCTTGTAGGCAAGTTTAACATCATTTTCATCTTTCCAGGCAAGTTTAACATCATTTTCATCTTTCCAGGCAAGTTTAGCATCATTTTCATCTTTCCAGGCAAGTTTAACATCATTTTCATCTTTCCAGACAAGTTTAACATCATATTCATCTTTCCAGACAAGTTTAACATCATTTTCATCTTTCCAGGCAAGTTTAACATCATTTTCATCTTTCCAGACAAGTTTAACATCATATTCATCTTTCCAGACAAGTTTAACATCATATTCATCTTTCCAGACAAGTGTAACATCATTTTCATCTTTTCAGGCAAGTTTAACTCATCATCTCATCGCTGCCTATGGGCTCCTCAGCAAAATGAAAATAGTGCCATCTAAACCAGCAACAGAAGAAGATCTTCGAGGTTTTCACTCAGAAGAGTTTGTTGAATTCCTCAAAGTGGCAAAACCTGATGATCAAGAATGATAGAGGATGAATTTGGTCTCGGTAAAATGCTTAGAGTATTATGATATTTTGGAGTGATTTTAAATGGGAATTAAAATTAAAATAGATAAATGTATACAGGATGGCCCCGCTTTACGGTGCTTTGCTTCACGGCGTTTCGCTAATGCAGCAGTTATAAAATTATACACTGATTTCCACTTTACAGCAGTAGCCCAGAACCTAACCGGCTGTATAAGTGGGGCCCCTAATGTTAAAGGAGTGGTTGTTGATGTGGTTTGGACATTTAGAGAAGAGCAAAATAGGGTGACTAGGCGGGTGTATAAATCTGTAGTGGAGGGAAGGCATGGCAGGGTTATCCTAGGAAAGGATGGAGGGAGAGGGTAAAGGATGTTTTGTTTGTGAGGGGCTTGGATATTTAGCAGGCTCATATGAGTGTTTTAAATAGGAGTGAGTGGAGGCAAGTGTTTTTAATGGTTTGATGTGCTGTTGGAATTGAGTAAGGTAACATTTATGAAGGGATTCAGCAAAATCAGTGAGCAGGACTTAAGTCCTGGAGGTGAGAAATACAGTGCGTGCACTCTGAAGGAGGGATAGGGTTATTGCAGTTTGGAAAGGTGTCTGAACTCTAGCATTGACATGCCTCTGGCAAGACAGTAAGGGAGTGAGTGATGGTGAATTTTTTTTTTTTTTTTTTTTTTTTGTCACCCTACCTCAGTGGGAGACTGCAAATTTTTTTTTTTCAGCAAGTCGGCCGTCTCCCACCGAGGCAGGGTGACCCAAAAAGAAAGAAAATCCCAAAAAGAAAATACTTTCATCATCATTGAACACTTTCACCTCACTCACACATAATCACTGTTTTTGCAGAGGTGCCCAGAATACAACAGTTTAGAAGTATATACGTATAAAAATACACAATATATCCCTCCAAACTGCCAATATCCCAAATCCCCCCTTATTTAAAGCGCAGGCATTGTACTTCCCATTTCCAGGACTCAAATTCGGTTATATAAAATAACCGGTTCCCCTGAATCCCTTCACTAATTATGACCCAGCTCACACTCCAACAGCTCGTCAGGTCCCAAATACCATTCGTCTCCATTCACTCCTATCTAACATGCTCACGCACGCTTGCTGGAAGTCCAAACCCCTCGCCCACAACACCTCATTTACCCCCTCCCTCCAACCTTTTTGAGGACGACCCCTACCCCGCCTTCCTTCCCCTACAGATTTATATGCTCTCCATGTCATTCTACTTTGATCCTTTTTCTCTAAATGACCAAACCACCTCAACAAACCCTCTTCAGCCCTCTGACTAATACTTTTATTAACTCCACACCTTCTCCTAATTTCCACACACTGAATTTTCTGCATAATATTTACACCACACATTGCCCTTAGACAGGACATCTCCACTGCCTCCAAGCGCCTCCTCGACTGCAGTTATGTTAAAAAAAGTTGAAGTCCAAAGAGCTTGTCCAGTGAACTTTTATTTTTTGTCTCAGTTTCATAGATGTGGTACAGTGAATTTCCAAGATGAAAAAATATAGAAGTTTTTGTTATAATTTGCTCAGTATAGGAAAATAATAATAAAGGTTGTAGAGATTATTAAATAGATACTTAGAAGTTAGTTGTGTTGTGGATTGCATCCTGGGATACAATCTAAGGTCACAAGAGAAATAACCCACACTATTTTTTATGGGTTATTCTGGGTTATTAACCCTCCTATGGAAATTATTACATGCAAATCAGGGGGTTAAATGAAATATAATAGTCAAGTTTTATGAGAGCAAGTGTAGGGTGACTGAAGATGAGAACCAATTTACCATCACTCATATACTAGCTGTCTTGATAGAAGTACTAAGGAGCTTTCTGCATGTACCCCTAAATGTCACCCATCTCATTACACATTATTATTATTTTTTTTTTTTATTATCACACTGGCCGATTCCCACCAAGGCAGGGTGGCCCGAAAAAGAAAAACTTTCACCATCATTCACTCCATCACTGTCTTGCCAGAAGGGTGCTTTACACTACAGTTTTTAAACTGCAACATTAACACCCCTCCTTCAGAGTGCAGGCACTGTACTTCCCATCTCCAGGACTCAAGTCCGGCCTGCCGGTTTCCCTGAACCCCTTCATAAATATTACTTTGCTCACACTCCAACAGCACGTCAAGTATTAAAAACCATTTGTCTCCATTCACTCCTATCAAACATTATATCATTCGGAAATGAAGAATCTTTAATCTTTAATCACAGTTCAGATAAACTCTGAACTACACCATTCTCACTCATCTTTAAGAGTGTAGATACTATTTTCCACATCCAGAACTTGAGTTTCAATAACTGGTGTCCTTGAATGTCTATAAATGTTATCTTGCTCAGAGAGTATCTCAGATCCCTAAAACCACCATCTCTATAAAAGCTCACACTTGCCTGCTGGATGCTCTACCTCAAACCACACAACTTCCAACTTTACCAAACCATACCATGGGCAGGATTTGAACTCCACACGTGGTATGGTTTGTTTGCAATCGTGTCATTATGATTTCGTGAGTCATTCCAACTTTACTTTTGATGTTCCCTACACCTCCCTACACCAACAGCCATAGATCATGGTGAGAGGCACGACTCTCATCATTGGGGTCAAGGGATTGAATCCCAGATTGAAAAAAAAAAATTCCCCTCATGGAAGGTTCCTTGATGCTGATGAGGGGCTCTTGATCTAGGGAATTGGATCTGCTCCAATTCCCTGAATTCAGCCTGAAAGCCTTCCATCCCCTCCCCAAGCACTGTCTCATCCTTACAGGTTTAGCACTCCCCCATAATAATACACCTCCCACCATCCATAGATAAATACTCTTTTGGTTAGCCTATCCTGCTCCAGTCTTCATTTTTTAATACACAAAACAAGCCTTACAGTTTCATTTAATATACTGTTCTTTGAAATGAGTCAGTGTGTGGAAGCTTTCGAAAATGATAGATCTTTATCTTTACTCAGGATTTGATTGCCCAATTATCAACAACCTGTGGACAATAGTCTGTCAAGTGACCGGTGCATCTTTGACGGCCGCTTGTGCTCTTACATCATCCAAAGCAAAAATTGCCATTAATTGGTGTGGTGGCTGGCATCATGCTCAGAGGTGAGAGATACTATGTGTATGAATGTTATGCTTGCATGGGTAACTCATTAAAACAATACAAAATTTTGATAAACATCCTGAGGCTTTGTAATGAATGAATGTTTATACAGTAATTCAATGTAGTGAGGGGGATTCAAGTCTGTGGTCTGTTGGGCCTCTGTAGCTCACTGGCTAAGCATGTTGGGTTTGTAATCTTAGATCCAAGGAATTGGACTTGCCCTTTCCTTCCTTGAATTGAATCTAAATGCTTTCCAGGCACTATATGACCCCTGTGAGTTTAGTGCTTTCCCATAAATATAATAATAATAATTGTAATCTTAGACTGTAGATTTGAATTCTGCTGAACACTTACAATTGTTGACTAATGCTTTCATAATTTGATTTTATGGGTTGGGTGCTATCTGAAGATGAAGTAACGTTATTTGGAGAAAATGGGTCAAAGCTAATGTAGGTTGGCCGTCACTAATGCGGCATCATTGGGACCTGTAGTGTGCCGGATTACAAAGTGGTTAAGTTAGAATACACTTAACCTATCAGTATAGACATTCTGCTACACCTTCGTCATTTTTATCACTGCTTTCTCCTCCACTGGCTTGCTGCTGTGGATTTACAACCATCCGCACACTTTCCGAGTCAGTATAATGATGAAATTTGAGCCAGTATAATGGTGAAATGTGAAATTATGCTAGCTGAAATTAGTGCCGGATTACTGATGGAACCGGATAACTGATTGCTGGATTACTAATGGCCAACCTGTATGTACACTTCAATTTTGAGTTGTGCTTATCAATACATGTATCGAACTGACTGATAAAACATTACCTAAAGAAAATATCTGTGAAACCTAGTAAATAAAAAACCGATTCACTATATGAACCATGAGTTTGACATAACCAAAAATGAATTGCTTATTTTTCTATTTTATTTTAAAATTTATGCTAGGTTATAGATGGGCCTTATGTACCCATGTTCACATTTGTCCTTTTTGTCTATGCAGTATCCTGCTTTGCTGTGTTTTTTACTAAAGTCTTCAATGACTTTTTTTGATCCTACTTTTCTTTACACAAATAACCCACACATAGGAGAAAGTCGCTTGTGATGACGTTTTGGTCCAACTTGTACCATTAACTAGTCACTGTGCGGGTTATTTACATATTGATCCAGTCAAGGTATTGTGCCTTTTTATTCCCTTCTCTCCTCAAGGGAGGTTCCTTGATGCTGGTGAGGGGCTCTTGATTCAGGAATTGGATCTGTGCTCCAGTTCCCTGAATTAAGCCTGAATACCTTCCATCACCCCTCCACAGGCGCTGTATAATCCTGCAGGTTTAGCTCTTCCCCATGACTGCAATAATAATAATTTATTCCCTTCTGTTTTTTACCAGTCTAGCATTATAATTTTTCCTCCAGTCCTCATGTCTCATTTATATTAACTTTTTGCAATTCTATCTCCTTCATTTGTTCTATTATTTTTGTGATTCTTAAATTTTCCTGCTTTGAAATTTGATTTTATAAAGCTGAATTTTCAGGTGCTTTTTGAATACAGTATATATTAAATTCAATTTTTTATTTATTTTTATGCAGATATACAGATAGTGTAGTTAATATAGAATAAAACATTGTTAAGCACAAAAGAAAGCCAGTAGTATGCACTGCATTTTGGCAAACTAATCCTGATGCTTAAAGACTACTTAAGAATTAGACATACACTATTAAATAGGATTTCTTATGCAATTTGCTCCAATATATGCACAATAATAAAGGTAGCTAATGAATAAATGGTACGGTTGTTTCATATATGATGTCAGAGGTAATAAAACTGGTGAAATCTGATTCATCTTTGTTTCATATTTTAAAAAATTATGGTAATCTGGCCTCGAAAATGTTCATTTTTTTTTCTTTAACAAGTCGGCTGTCTCCCACTGAGGCAGGGTGACCCAAAAAAGAAAGAAAATCCCCAAAAAGAAAATACTTTCATCATCATTCAACACTTTCACCTCACTCACACGTAATCACTGTTTTTGCAGAGGTGTTCAGAATACAACAGTTTAGAAGCATATACGTATAAAGATACACAACATATCCCTCCAAACTGCCAATATCCCAAAATAACCTTTTTTATCCTCTCTCCTAATCCAAAAGAATTTTACCTCAAAATTATTATTTTGAATTAATTTTATTTTAGTATGTATTATCCAGTTGGGCTAGTTTATAATTTTGATGCCTTGTGAAATATGGACAGTAATTTTTAATGGTTGATTGTAAAAAGTTAGGTTAGGCCTAAGATTCATTGTCAGTCATAATAGATTCTGTAAATCACATTAATTACAATTTAAATTCCTCTTGAGATATTTTGGGAACCCACTTAAATTGCATGGTGCAGCTCCACAGTGATTCTTCAGCTGCATACTTTGATTTGATTATTTTCTGTAATGATCACTATAGTTAGCCTCCATCTGAACACATACTAATTTGTCTGAGCAAGCCCATGGGGCTCCGCAACATTTGTTTTCTTGTGAATAATAGGGTATTGTACTCCATGGGGAAGTGGAACAGAATTCTTCCTCCGTAAGCCATGCGTGTCGTAAGAGGCAACTCAAATGCCGGGAGCAAGTGGCTAGTAACCCCCTTCTCCTGTATATGTTACTAAACTTAAAGGGAGAAACTTTCGTTTTTCCTTTTGGGTCACCCCACCTCTGTGGGATATGGCTGGTATGTTGAAAGAAGAATAGGGTATTGTATGTGATATGCTATGAATTCTTAATTTTTTTTGACACACTGGCTGTCTTCCACTGAGGTAGGGAAACCCCCCATCCCCGCCAAAAAAAAAAGAAACACTTTCACCATCATTCACACTATCACTGGCTTTCTTAATGTATGGGTATAATACATTGTTGTATAGTAAGGCCTTGCTGTACAAAAACGTATATTATTTGTCAATGTTAAAATGTTAGATTTTGATTTATTAGCTGTAATTATTATAATGAGCTTTAATTTTTCTTTCTACAGAGATTCTGCCTCTGGATTTTGTTATGTGAATGACATCGTTTTAGCTATGCGACACCTGCGTACCAAGTTTGACAAGATCTTGTATATTGATTTGGACATCCATCATGGTCAGTGAGAACACTTTGAATCAGTCAGTCCCCCAAGGTGCTTTGTACAGACATGGATTTGTACCTATTGATGATAATGTTAAATGCCTTAGTTGTGCTCCAATAGCTTTGTTTTGTTTAAGCTTGTAGTTGAACAGAACTTCATAGATACAATGCACCAAATATGTTAATAAGCATAGGTAGCAGGTTGGTAGACAGCAACTGCCCAGGAAAGCACTACTATCCTGCCAAGTGAGTGTAAAACAAAAGCCTGTAATTGTTTTACATGATGGTAGGATTGCTGGTGTCTTTTGTCTGTCTCATAAACTATGCAAGATTTCAGGTACATCTTGCTACTTCTACTTACACTTAGGTCACACTACACATACATGTACAAGTATATATATACATACCCCTCTGGGTTTTCTTCTATTTTCTTTCTAGTTCTTGTTCGTGTTTATTTCCTCTTATCTCCATGGGGATGTGGAAGAGAATTCTTCCTCCATAAGCCATGCGTGTCGTAAGAGGCGACTAAAATGCTGGGAGCAAGGGGCTCATAACCCCTTCTCCTATATACATTACTAAAGTTGGAAAGAGAAACTTGTTTTTCTTTTTGGGCCACCCTGCTTTGGTGGGATATGGCCAGTTTGTTGAAAGAAGAAAAAGAGACACTTTCATCTTTCTTTTTAGCTCATCTTGCCTCAGTGGGATACGGCCGGTTTGTCGGAAAAAAAAAATCTATCTTGGTCACTCAAGCTGTTAGAGTGAGCAAGGTAACATTTTGTGAAGGTGTTCAGGGAAACTGGTTAGCCAAGCTTGAGTCCTGGAGGTGGGAAGTACAGTGCCTGCACTCTAAAGGAAGGCTGGTATATTTGCTGTTTGAAGTGACATCTGATCTGTCATCTGTGCTCCTCTGGCAAGACAGTGATAGTGTGAATGGTGGTGAAAGTGTTTCTTTTTTGCATCACCCTGCCTCTGTGGGAGATGCCTAGTGTGCAAAACAACCACTGAGAAAAAATAGTGAAATTCCAAGTACTTTTGTGATTTCTCAAATTTTACATCATTTTCCCTAGGAGATGGTGTGGAGAATGCTTTTCTCTTCAGCCCAAAGGTGGTAACTCTGTCATTTCATCAGTTGGAAGCCGGCTTTTTCCCTGGCACTGGTCAACAGAAGGATGTGGGTCTAGGAAAAGGCAGATACTACACCTATAATGTTCCCTACAAAGCTGGGATAAATAATGACCAGTTTGTATACTTGGTTGAAAGGTTAGTATAATTGGTATAACTTGATTAAGACGTTTTGTAGAACAGTTTTTAACTGCTGAGTTTGTTCTCTTCATATGAAATATCAGAGTAGCAGATTATAATTAACTCCTGAATATCCCTGATAGTTTTGTATTTTGATGAAGTTTGCAAGGCATAATTTGGTCTTAGTCAAAGTATGGTGTTTCACTATCATTATATCAATTTCGTGGAAAGTTAATTTGTCTTTACTTAGATATAGGATTCAATTAATTTATTTTAGCACATTGTCTCTCACTGAGGCAGAGTGACCCCAAAAAAAAAAGAAACTTTTACCATCATTTGCACTATAGACATCATTTTATTTTTATAAATTGTGCATTATCCATGGGGAAGTGGAAAAAAATCCTCAATAAGCCATGGTTGTCATAAGATATAACTTAAATGCCAAGAGCAAGGGGCTAGTAACCCCTTCTCCTGTATGAATTATTCTTCTTTCAACAAATCGGCCATATCCTACCGAAGTAGGGTAGCACAAGAAGAAAAACAAAAGTTTCACTTATTAGCTTGAGTAATGGATACAGGAGCTCTGGGTTACAAGCCCCTTGCTTTCCCTGTATAAATTATTAAATGTAAAAAGAAAATCCGAAGTTTCTTCATTTTTAGGTCACCTTGCCTTGGTGGGAGACAGCCAGTATGTTAAAAACAAATTGTGTATATACGAACATGTTGGTAGAATTACCGACAATATGTAAAGTAAAAGGATACAAGTGCAGCTAATGTGACATTTTATTGTGGCAACATTTTGCTCTCCAGGAGCTTGTAACAGCTTGACAAAGCTCCTGGAGAGCAAAATGTTGCCACAATAAAATGTCACATTAGCTGCACTTGTGTCCTTGTACTTACATATAAAAACAACAAATACATAGTACACTATTTAAAATGATATATTAATACATTGCTTTCATTTTACTCTTGTAGCATTCTGTACAACTTGTGTGAGGTATACATGCCAAATGCTGTGGTATGCCAGTGTGGAGGTGATGCTGTCATTGGAGATCCTCTGGGGGGAGGCAATTTAACACCTGAAGCATTCAGAGTGTGTGTACGGCATGTCTTGAACCTCAACAAACCCACTCTCTTTCTTGGTGGAGGTTCGTCTATTCTATACCAAATTTATATAAATGCTCAAGCCATTAATTATTCTATGAGTATTAAGTATAAACTGAGTTATTATATAGGACAGCCCCACTGATACAGCAGGTTAGGTTCCAGGCTATCACTGTAGAGCAAAAATCACTGTGAAGTGAAATAGCCTTTTTTCATTTTCAAATGCATATAGTTGAAGATTGAGACACTTATGCAACATATGGGAATCTTTATTCAGGAAACGTTTCGCCACACAGTGGCTTCATCAGTCCAATACAAAGTAGAAAGGCGTAAGGAGAGGAGGAGTTTGAGGTAATCAGTCCCTCAGCCTGGAGTCGATGTGTTCAGTCCATCAATCTTGTAGAATGTACAGCATATAATAGCCTGATAATATGTTTACACTATCATATATTAAGTGAGCATTAGAACTAGGTCTAAAAAATGCATATACACTACACACATTACTACCCATAAAATACTTTTGTCCTTAGCTTAGTGAGTGGTAAATATATTTATTGTAGGAAGTCCGAATAAATGAAGAATGGGCATAATTGAAAACCGCTGCATTAGCGAAGTGCCATAAAGCTAAGCACTGTAAAGCGGAGCCCTCCGTTATTACACATTTGTGTTTTAGTTATGAGAACATTAAAATAGCTGTATTACATTGAATCCTATGACCCATATAGGTTTAGCACTTGTGTGATGGATACGTAATAATGTTGGATCCTAAAATGCAAAATTCTTGAAAATGAGGAATTCCCATTTCCAGGCACTGTGTTACCTATGCAAACTTTGTGCTCGCCCATGAATGTAATAATTATATTACTAAACATTATTGTATACATAATTATGCCCATAAATGTAATTTTTTTTTTTTTTCAACAAGTTGGCCGTCTCCCACCGAGGCAGGGTGTAATATGTAATATGTGATTATATTACTAATCATTCATGATTGTATATACATACATAATTTTCTAGGAGGTTATAATGTGGCCAACACAGCCAGACTATGGACAGCTGTCACTTCTACCATTCTTGATACTGCACTTAATACTGAAATTCCAGAACATCAGGTATGAGTACATATATATAATCACTGTTAAGTGTCTCAGTGTATGAGTGAATGGATACAAGCATATTTAGTAGTCTATCTATCTTGTTGCCAGCCAGGGTTGATTATACAGTATTCCTGCTGTATTCCCAGGGGACAAGTTCCAAAACCTACTGTTGATACCTGAAACCGCCGATAGTAGTGAACCCTATGTACGGTGGTACCCTGAGTTTCGAATTGCTCCCAACTCGACCAGTTATGTAAGTTTATTATTGTAAGTGTATTTTTGGGAGTCTGAAATGGACTGATCTATTTTACATTATTCCTTATGGGAACAAATTCGTTCGGTAACGGCACTCGAACAGCCTTCTGGAACGAAGAAAGTGCCAAACTTGAGGTACCACTGTATAAGTTGTTTTCCATTTACATGAATATGTATGGTGAAGTTTAATTGATAAATGATGCACAATAAGTAGAGAATTGACAATTCTCACTAATGGGAAGCATCTCATAGCTTCTTTTAGACTCTGAAGAATTTTTGGCATCACTACTTTTCCACTTTGGGGCCATTATAAGGCAAAATTAAGGGTTATTTTTGGGCCATGGTAAACCATGGATAATTGAAACCCTGGAAAAGGAATCTGCAGATATGGGGTTTCTACTGTATGCAATTTTGACTAATACAATCGAGTCACACAAGTTAAACCCATCCAGTTGTCTTTCATGGCATATTGTATTTATTAACCAAATTCCTTTGATATTAATCAGATTAGTTACTGCAGATCCTAGAAGGAACCACCTATCTTTTCACAAAGCATTCCTTTGCAGTTCCATAATCAGTATGAAATTATTTATTATTCACATTACATTCCATTGCTGTATTTACAAAATTAGTATCAGTGATCTGGATCTGCATCAAATAATTATACTTTGTAATAATTATACTTTGTAATATTAGTTCTTGCTATTATGTCTTTAAATTATTAGCCATTAATTTAAATTTTGTATTTGCTTTTTAATCCTAAAGTTCCCCAGTCATTGTTTAATCTTTGAACACTTGACTGATTGGTATTCAAGATTTTATTATGAAATTTCTCTTTGTCTCTGTTATATGATTATGCTGTTTATTAAATTCAGGATATAGCATTCTCTGTGTTACTGTATCAGTTAACTATGAAGTTATATATATTTTTTTAACCATTGTATCTTAACTTTCAGTTTTTTCCAATGTATGGGCCAAGTTTCGAGTTGGAAATATCAGCAGGACTTCGAAAAAGTGAAAATACTCAGAAGTCTCTAGATGAGACAGTTCAGATTGCTAATGGTAAGTATTATATGTACTCACCTATTTGTGGTCATAAGAGTCGATTCTCAGATCCTGTCTTATTTTATTTTATTTGTTTTTATTAACACATCGGCCATTTCCCATTGAGGTAGGGTGCCCTGAAAAAGGAGAAACACTTTCATCATCATTCACTCCATCACTGTCTTGTCAGAGGCATGCTGATACTGCAGTTCAAAACTGCAACATATCTGCAATCCCTCCTGGCTATGCCTCTTGATTTGCCACTCTGATTCATTCCCTCTTAGTCTCATGGTTCTTATTATAATTGCTCATAAAACTATGTATGAAGCCTATCTCCACTTGTTTCTCACCAAGATCATTCCACTTACTGACCACTGAAACTGAAAAAATACTTCTTAACATACCTGTGGTTCATATTTGCCTTGAACTTCCAACTGTGTCCCCGAGTTCCTGTTTCTTGCCTCTCAACCAGCCTAGCCCTAACCATCTTATTAGTTCCCTTGAGTATTTTTTATGTTATCACATCATCCTTGGTTCTTCTATCCTCTATTGTTATTATATCCAGTTCTATTAGTCTTTTGTCTCATGCCCCCATAGCTCAGGAACAAGTTGCATACTTATGCTTCTTCTTTCAACAAACTGGCCGTATCCCACTGAGGCAGGGTGACCCAAAAAGACAAACAAAAGTTTCTTTTTTTTACTTTAGTAATGTATACAGGAGAAGGGGTTATGCATACTTATTCACTTTCAACAATACATATATATCTGAATCATTTCCATCTGGAATGTCATTTACATCAACCAGAAACTGTATTGGTCCTAATACCAACCCTTGTGGCACCTAGCTAGTTACTTTTAACTCATTCCGGCTTCTCTTACCTGATTATCACTATGCTTCATTTTCTTAAGATATTCTTTGATCCATCAGAATATGCTCTCTGTTATTCCCACCTGAATCTCAAGTGTTTTGCCCAGCCTCATGTAGAGTACAGTATCAAATGCCTTCTTGCAATCTAAAATGCAATCCACCCAACCCTCCCTCCCTCTCTCTCTCTCTTTGTTGCACATCCTACTTTGTCATAGAACTCCAAAAAGTTAGGAAGACAAGAGTTGCCATCCCTAAACCCATGTTGATTTTTGCTCATGAAAGCGCTTCTCTCCAAGTGTTCTACCACTTCTCCATTACCTTGCTAGGTATGCATGTCACAGAAACTGGTCTGCACTTTAATGCCTCCTGTCTGTCTCCTTTCTTAAATATAGGAACTATATTAGTGTATGTATGTAATCACCTATATGTGGCTGCAGGGGTCAAGTCCCAGCTCCTAGTGCACCTCTCAACTTTTTGCTTGCCAGATTTACTCCCTCCTAGCCTTGTGAGTTTTATCATACCTTATTGTGTGTATGTGGAGGTGAGAAGAGCAGTGCATACACTGAAAGAGGGGTGGAGATGTTACACTCAGAGGATAATCTGAATTGTGATGCCAGTACACTTCTGGCAAGACAGTGTTTGAATGAATGATGGTGAATGTTTCTTTCTTTGGGTCACCTTGCCTTGGCAGGAGATGGCCAATGAGGTTAAAAAAAAAAAGTAAAAATATGATACTATGATAAAGTATTTAACTGTCCCTTAGCATACTGTTCAAATAAGATATGATCTAGATTCATTTTGAAAAAACTTTTTTTTTTATGATTTTGGGTGAAAGAGGAGGCTATGATTCATTTACTTTCAAGTGATCACTTTGGGATGGTGGATTTTCAGCTTTCAGCTCGGTGAGCTTCGAGATACGTACCAAGATTCAGTTGTATACAGTAGGGCCCCATTTTTGTGGCTGTTGGGTTCCTGATCTTCACTGATAAGTAAAAAATCATTGGCTAATGGGAAAAAAGAGCAGTTTTTCAATATCAGATGTGTCTAAAATGCCTGATATTGTGTTTACAGTATCATATATTAAGTGCTCAGTACAGCTGGGCATAAAAAAAAAAGATACAAAAATAAAATAAAACTTCTCTTTCTCTTTTTAACTTTAGTAATGTATACAGAAAGGGTTACTAGCCCCGTGCTCCTGGAATTTTAGTCGCCTCTTGCAACACGCATGGCTTATGGAGGAAGGATTCTGTTCCACTTTCCCATGGAGATAAGAGGGAATAAACAGGAACAAGAACTAGTAAGAAAACATAAGAAAACCCAGAGGGGTGTATGTATATATGCTTGTAAATGCAAGTGTAGTGTGACCTAAGTGTAAGCAAAAGTAGCAAGACGTACCTGAAATCTTGCATGTTTATGAGACAGAAGAAAGACACCAGCAATCCTACCATGTAAAATTATTACAGGCTTCTGTTTTATACTCACCTGGCAGGACGGTAGTACTTCCTTGGGCGGCTGCTGTCTACCAACCTACTACCTAGGAGAAGTAAATAACAAATAATTTCTGTAACTAAATAACAGATATTGAAAAGTAAATAGATGAATACAAGTTTATTCTGTCAATAAATGTACAATACTGTACAAAGTTTGATGACTACTGAATGTACATCACTATCGCACCATCGTAAAGTCCAAGTATCGTAAATTGAATGATTGTAAAGCAAGGAGCATCTGCACTCAAATTGTGTACTTTGTGTAATTTGTTAGCATGTACATATTAATGTATTTAGCTATGGCTATGAATACACACATTATTTTTTTTTATTAACACATCGGCTGTCTCCCACCAAGGGAGGGTGGCCTGAAAAAGAACTTTCACCATCATTCACTTACTCCAATGTCTTGCCAGAGGTGTGCTTACACTACACACATAAAACTGCAACATTAACACCCCTCCTTCAGCGTGCAGGCACTGTACTTCCCATCCCCAGGAATCAAGTCTGGTCTGCTGGCTTTCCTGACTCCCTTCATAAATGTTACTTTGCTTGCACTCCAACAGCATGTCAAGTCCTAAAAACCATTTGCCTCCATTTGCTCCTATGTAACATGCTCACACATGCTTGCTGGAAAGTCCAAGCCCCTCTCTCGCAAAACCTCCTTTACCCCTCATCCCCTCCAACCTTTCCTTGGCCGACTCCTACCCGCCTTCCCTCCCTACAGATTTATATGCTCTTGAAGTTATTCTATTTCCTTCCATCCTCTCTATATATCTGAACCACCTCAACAACCCCTCCTCAGTCCTCTGGATAATAGTTTTGGTAATCTCACACCTCTTCCTAATTTCCAAACTACAAATTCTCCGCATTATATTCACACCACATATTGCCTTCGGACATGACATCTACACTCGCATATGTATGTATAAATATGTAACAGCTAGTATATGTTCGTGTATTGTCATTCCTAAAAAAAAATTTTTTATTTTTTCAGAAAATATCAATAAATTGGCAGAGTTACTGGGAAGAAAGCCATCATAGTTTTCTTAAATGTTTGCCTGAATAATATTAAATTTTAATGTTCTTTTTTCATGGAAATTTCATTGTTTTTTAAATCATTCATAATATATAATATACATTAGTATTTTAAGACTTTATTGCTGTGATATAATGATGTTAGGTCTACAATTTTTTATCCTATTTTTAGTGGATACATTTTTTATAAGTTTATATGCATGTGTAATAATAAAAATGATTAAATTTTTTGTGATTTATTGCAAAATTCCCAGTCCATCCCATTACAGTTAAAAAATTCTGTGGCTGTTATAATGATATATAGTCTGTTTCTTTAGCAGAATAGCCCATGTTTATTTAGCAACATTGTCCACGTTCCTTTAGCACTATGGTGAATTTTACTATATTTCAAAAGGTTTCTTAGTCTCGTCATAATGCCCATCAATTACAGTTACACCAGAGATCCCTTGATATAATGCTGACTGTAAAAACAAACATACATATCCTTCTCCTCTGTAAATAGCCCTGCAGAAGAAGAATATTTTTTTATACAAGTATTTATCCTTCATGTCCAGTTTGAAAGTTCAAAATAAAGAATCAGTGTGCTGATGATAATAATAATAATAATATTTTTTTTTTTTTTTTTTTTTTTTTTTTTTTTTTTTCAACAAGTCGGCCGTCTCCCACCGAGGCAGGGTGACCCAAAAAAAGAAAGAAAATCCCCAAAAAGAAAATACTTTCATCATCATTCAACACTTTCACCACACTCGCACATTATCACTGTTTTTGCAGAGGTGCTCAGAATACAACAGTTTAGAAGCATACACATATAAAGATACACAACATATCCCTCCAAACTGCCAATATCCCAAACCCCTCCTTTAAAGTGCAGGCATTGTACTTCCCATTTCCAGGACTCAAGTCCGACTTTATGAAAATAACCGGTTTCCTGAATCCCTTCACTAAATATTCCCCTGCTCACACTCCAACAGATCGTCAGGTCCCAAGTACCATTCGTCTCCATTCACTCCTATCTAACACGCTCACGCACGCTTGCTGGAAGTCCAAGCCCCTTACCCACAAAACCTCCTTTACCCCCTCTCTCCAACCCTTTCGAGGACGACCCCTACCCCGCCTTCCTTCCCCTATAGATTTATATGCTTTCCATGTCATTCTACTTTGATCCATTCTCTCTAAATGACCAAACCACCTCAACAACCCCTCTTCTGCCCTCTGACTAATACTTTTATTAACTCCACACCTTCTCCTAATTTCCACACTCCGAATTTTCTGCATAATATTTACACCACACATTGCCCTTAAACAGGACATCTCCACTGCCTCCAACCATAATACTAATAATAATACTAATAATAATAATTATTCCTAGGTAGTAGGTTGGTAACAGCAACTGCCAAGGAAGGTACTACTGTCTTCCCAAGTGAGTGTAAAACGGAAGCCTGTAGTTGTTTTACATGATGGTAGGATTACTGGTGTCTCTTTTCTGTCTCATAAACATTCAAGATTTCAGGAATGTCTTGCTACTTCTACAGAATTCTTCCTCCGTAAGCCATGCTTGTCATAAGAGGTGACTAAAATGCCAGGAGCAAGGGGCTAGTAACCCCTTCTCCTGTATACATTAC